ATACATATATCAATAAAGCGGCAAAAGAATGCTTGGTGATTTAACCTTTTGAGGGCGATTTGGAAATTTGTGGCGTGACAGGTGAAATTGCTGGTGACAATGAGTAAAGTTAACAATTTGCAGAAAGGAAGACGTCATGCTTAGTAAGCGAAATTCAGGAATCCGCTGTAGGCTAGAGCATTTAAATCTACTTAGACAACGATGCAAAGCAAATAGATCCTTTGTCATATCTGCCATCAGCGTCACAATAGGTGACAAGTGCTCATTTGTCATTTGTACCAAGTTGCATGTCACAAACCGACCAGATGCGTTTCAAATGGTAATGCATTCTGGAGCATCCTGATCCTGGAATAATTGTCTCTACTATGCTTTGTTATATTTAAACAAGTCATTGTCTTGTCCATATGTGTCATTTTTCCTCTATTACCCTGCTAGGAAACGTCTAAATAAGGTCTTCCTAATTACAGTTTGGTTTCTCCCATAATCCCAAAATGATTGCAATTTAATAAACTAGATTAGAATAAGCTTTTTATTTTGTTTCCTTTCTCTTTAAATGCATCCGCAGCAACATAGTTGGAGTCATTCCGTGATATCAATGCGGTCATGCAGCGCATGACAATTCGCTGCAAAGTAACTTTTGCATTTTCACTGGAAATACCCCTACTGTTGACATCTTACAAGCTTATTCTTCAGTTTCTTTGACCTTAAGTTTATTATCATTTAATGCTTTTTCTTAGACTTTACAATGACAGCTTCTGATTCTACGTCGAGAGGACTTAAAGGCAAAGTTCATATAAATACATCTCTCTCATCACTTTTCAGGCAATTTAAGGCAATTTAAGTCATTTCTGTTAGAGCTTTTTCTGCACCCATTATTTTAATGTTGCGTTCTAATCAGTCACTGCCTGATACAAAGCATGTTATTATAATACAGGTTTCTGAAATTAGGCTACCATGATTGATGGGCTAAAAATATTAAATGATTAAGTTAACAAGGGAACAAACTTTTAAAGGCGATAATTGCTTGCAAAATATTTTGTTTATCAAAAACCATCACCATTTGTTCCCTGATTTCTCTTCCACAGTGATCACTTTGCTGCAAATGCCATTTTTACCTCTAGAGGATAAAAGGCCTTAAACACCTCTGTGTTACAATCGCTGATCCCAATTTGTGTGCCACAATGTGGTTGAATGATACAGAGAGTTGGTGGTAGTTATCAATTAGAGAAACACGGATGAGCACGAAAATGGGGTTAGGAAGCTGCAAGCATCTCCCCTCTTCACTCTTGAGTACGATAATACCTAGCTCTCAGGGGTGAGTTTTGCAGTGTGGTGGGAGAACTTGCAACTTCTTATAATTAAGTTCGTTCTCCTGACCAATTTATAAGTCCATGTCCTTTTAAGAAACAGTAATTGAGCCCCTAATGGTTACAGCCCTAACAGATTTGTATTAGAGAGAGAAATTCTCATGATGAACAACACCACTTGTAGTCTACGGAATATGCACACGCTTACAAAGGAAGCACAGCCTTCTGAGGATGAGGTGATATCCTAGAAGTGTGGACCAATGAGTAGACCATTTGAAGCAAGCATTGATACATTTGTTTTCTAAACAAACGCTAAAGCACGACACCCGATCTTTATTACAATCGAGTCGAATGGCAGGCAAGTTACAATTCACGACGTCATGCTTAGTAAGCGAAATTCAGGAATCCGCTGTAGGCTAGAGCATTTAAATCTACTTAGACAACGATGCAAAGCAAATAGATCCTTTGTCATATCTGCCATCAGCGTCACAATAGGTGACAAGTGCTCATTTGTCATTTGTACCAAGTTGCATGTCACAAACCGACCAGATGCGTTTCAAATGGTAATGCATTCTGGAGCATCCTGATCCTGGAATAATTGTCTCTACTATGCTTTGTTATATTTAAACAAGTCATTGTCTTGTCCATATGTGTCATTTTTCCTCTATTACCCTGCTAGGAAACGTCTAAATAAGGTCTTCCTAATTACAGTTTGGTTTCTCCCATAATCCCAAAATGATTGCAATTTAATAAACTAGATTAGAATAAGCTTTTTATTTTGTTTCCTTTCTCTTTAAATGCATCCGCAGCAACATAGTTGGAGTCATTCCGTGATATCAATGCGGTCATGCAGCGCATGACAATTCGCTGCAAAGTAACTTTTGCATTTTCACTGGAAATACCCCTACTGTTGACATCTTACAAGCTTATTCTTCAGTTTCTTTGACCTTAAGTTTATTATCATTTAATGCTTTTTCTTAGACTTTACAATGACAGCTTCTGATTCTACGTCGAGAGGACTTAAAGGCAAAGTTCATATAAATACATCTCTCTCATCACTTTTCAGGCAATTTAAGGCAATTTAAGTCATTTCTGTTAGAGCTTTTTCTGCACCCATTATTTTAATGTTGCGTTCTAATCAGTCACTGCCTGATACAAAGCATGTTATTATAATACAGGTTTCTGAAATTAGGCTACCATGATTGATGGGCTAAAAATATTAAATGATTAAGTTAACAAGGGAACAAACTTTTAAAGGCGATAATTGCTTGCAAAATATTTTGTTTATCAAAAACCATCACCATTTGTTCCCTGATTTCTCTTCCACAGTGATCACTTTGCTGCAAATGCCATTTTTACCTCTAGAGGATAAAAGGCCTTAAACACCTCTGTGTTACAATCGCTGATCCCAATTTGTGTGCCACAATGTGGTTGAATGATACAGAGAGTTGGTGGTAGTTATCAATTAGAGAAACACGGATGAGCACGAAAATGGGGTTAGGAAGCTGCAAGCATCTCCCCTCTTCACTCTTGAGTACGATAATACCTAGCTCTCAGGGGTGAGTTTTGCAGTGTGGTGGGAGAACTTGCAACTTCTTATAATTAAGTTCGTTCTCCTGACCAATTTATAAGTCCATGTCCTTTTAAGAAACAGTAATTGAGCCCCTAATGGTTACAGCCCTAACAGATTTGTATTAGAGAGAGAAATTCTCATGATGAACAACACCACTTGTAGTCTACGGAATATGCACACGCTTACAAAGGAAGCACAGCCTTCTGAGGATGAGGTGATATCCTAGAAGTGTGGACCAATGAGTAGACCATTTGAAGCAAGCATTGATACATTTGTTTTCTAAACAAACGCTAAAGCACGACACCCGATCTTTATTACAATCGAGTCGAATGGCAGGCAAGTTACAATTCAC